TTTACTTCAATTTACATTTCCATCTATTTCGATCATTGTTATTTCTATATTGTTGTCATTCTAATCCAGAGGGGTGGCTTTAGATTAACTCAGGGCTGCATGATCAGCAGAACACGTTTCCATGTATTTCTCCATTCTGACATGATTTACAAACTTTGAACATGTGAACAAAGGCAATTCGTCCATTTACATTCTCCCCGCTCCCCCACCCCTCCCCCCAAGTTCCTATTAGTTTCTTTCTATCCAATCAGATGACTGGTTGAACATGGATATTATTGAAGTGAAAGTCTTGCATTTGATCCTGGCTGTAAGTCCTGGTGTTGCTCTGTGGGTTAATGCACTGGACTGCAAGGTTGGTTTGAACTGCAAGGTTGGCAGTTCAAGCTCACCAGTTGCTCCTTTGAAACTCTATGCAGGGTCGTTATGGGTCAGAACTGACTTGATGGCACTTAACAACAACAAGGCTATTCAACTGTCTCTTTTCCCAAGGCTACCTTGTTCCCCTTTTATTATCAGTCTATGCCCATAACTGTACCATCAGCCACATTGCTTTATTCAAGGTTAAAATAAAGGATTTCAAGGTAAAAATTCTTGGTTGATTTCTACCAGAAAGTATCAGTGCCTTGTTTTTGTTCTTCTAGGAACCAAAGAGGTTGTTGTAACTGTGGATGATGATGGAGTCATTTCTTTGAACTTTGAATGTGATCAGATGTCTCCAGATTCCAAGTTCATCTGGTCAAAGGATTATGTATCTACTGAAGACTCTCCACGGTTAGAAGTTGAAAGTAAAGGCAACAAGTAAGAACAGTCTCAATGGTAATGGGTTTCTTTCCCCCCATAAGAATATGAAGGATACCCTTTGCTTTGATTTTAATAACTTGGAATACCGGGATGAACTTGCAACTACATTTAACTGATATTGTGAAAAATCATAACAAATATGAACCTTAAAATAGCAATCCTTACAAAGTGCTTTTCACATTATTCTGTTTAAAGTACTTTTTCTTACATAGTCTCATTTATGATGATGTTTAAAAAAGCTTTAACTGACCTAAAATCCCATGTTAAAGATGATCCTTATTAATTCTAAGAAAATTTGTAATCTTAAAGTAGTGGTGAAGATACTTATGGGGGTTGCTGGGAAGAATTTGCTGCTTGCTTCAAATTAAATGATTAAATATAATCTGCTCTGCCTTTTTTTGATGGGTGAAAATAAAGCAACAATGGGGAACACAGAATAAAAGAGTTCTAGCTCCATCTCTTGACCTTGGACAAGCTGTTTAATTTCTGTGAACCTCAGATTTATTTTCTTGTAAAATGGGGACAGGAAGAAGGAATTGATTTTGTAATCAAGCACTTCTTTCAACTAGAAAAATCTGAGTTTTCATTTTATTTTCCCTTGATCAATGAATTGTATTTGTTAAAGCAAAGTATTTTAAAGCATTTTTTGTATTAACAATGAAAACCAATGCTGTTAACTGTTAAGTGTCATCAAGTCAGTTTCAACTCTTAGTGGCCTGGTATATGGTTTCCAAGGAGAGGCTGCTGGGCTTGAATCGGTGGCCTTGTGGTTAGCAGCCCAGTGCTTATCTGACAGTACCACACCAACACATTGAAGAAATAAAAGAAAAAAAAATAGCAATTTAGTTGGAGTACAGCAAGGAAATAGATGGAGAAAGATGAGGCTTTCTATTCCCACAAAGATTTTTAAAAAGCCTGGGAAATCCTAATAAGCATTGCTATGAGTTGGAACCAATTCAATAGCATTTAATAACAACAACAACAGTGGTAAGGGAAGATAATTCCTGAATAGAATTCGAAGACATTTTTTTTTCCTGTTACTTTGCTGTAAAGTCCTTGAAATAAAATATACATTTGCTCAAAGAAAAGATAATCAAACCATAAATATTTCCTCCAGTATACTACTGATTAGTAACAAGACTCACCAAAGTTAGAAAACACAGTGACTCTAGGCCATTGATCCACTCATTCATTTATTAATTCCACAAGAAATTAGTAAGTACATATTGGGAGATACAACAGTAAACAGACAGTTCCTGTGCCTGTACTCATGGAGATGATGTAGTTGACGGATATAGATAATGAAACAGACAGTACTAACCAGTATGATAAGCTCAGAGAAGGGAACATAGAGGCTGACGTAGGGAAGGCAGTGCCAACAACAGGCTCAGCCCCATGGGGCAAAGTATGCAGACTCCTCAGTAAGCACTGGGCAGCTACGTATCTTTGTACCTGATTTGTATTTACGTACAGTGGATGTCAGCTCAGCAAGTAGGATGGGAACAGTCTTCCAAATCGAGAGAGTAGCTTCTGTAAATGCTGTCCTAACTACAGACAGGGTTCACTGACCCCACACAGTTTCATTTCTAAGAAAAAATATTTTGTTCTGAAGGACAAAACTTACGTTTAAAGACCTCGGTATGGAAGATTTGGGAATTTACTCCTGTGATGTGACTGATACAGATGGGATAGCGTCAAGCTACGTAATAGATGAAGAAGGTAAACTTCAAATCAATTCATTAACAAATCAAATACTGCTTTTATTTCTCAACTATTCTCCAAGATAGAGCTTTGTTTTATTAGTGTAAGGGTTAATATTCTCTTTTTCTTTCCACAGAGGTGAAACGTTTACTTGCTCTCAGCCACGAACACAAATTCCCAAGTAAGTGTCCAAAATGCATTCACACAGCTCAGCAATTTTACCAGGTAGTGATTTATAGAACAGGTCAGGTTACAATCTAATAATATGGAGGACAGAGGCTCTTGAAAACAGAATACACATTGATGACTACAGATACGTGTTCTAAAAGTGTGCTTTTTTATTGCTTTGTCCTTTATTCTTCAGACATACAAATGATATGAATATGAAAGTTACATCCCATGTTTTGTCACATAGAGAAGAGTCAGACAACATAGATACAACATCTGAGTTATTAAGTTCTTCGTGTTTTACCTGTGCATTTTGGGATCACATACATTCACTGGTCTATATACAAGGACCTCACTGGATGGAATACACAGAAATCAAATCAACTACATTTGTAGAAACAGATGATGGAGAAGCTCAATATCATTAATCAGAACAAGACCAG